TATCATCAATCCAACATTAACATAGTGATTCAAGAGATTTAATAACCATTGAAGAAAAAAATTTATATATGGGTTTGAAATAGTCAATCACACAAGAAAAAACCGAAGATACGAAACTCTATGAGCAACGAAATAGCTAATTCAACAATTTTAAGCCAGTGCGTAGTGTTTTGAATAATTAGCTATCATATTGTTGAAATGGTGACATATTTCAAATGGCTAGTTGAATGAAATAGCTACGATAATCTTGTAGATGCACTACATTTTACATAGCTATATAGTGAATAGATGCTACTATGGAAATATATTGATTTCATTAACACTTGATGAGAATATTAGCGAAGAAGCTGGATAATTTTCAAATTATCAACCATTTATCACGCATATACGTTATATCTTAACTTTGTATTTCGGCAATATCTCGAGAAAACCAAAATACCTCATCGTGCTTTTCTTTATATGGCTAGAGGGTAGATAAGCCTTTCAAATGATATCAAATAGTAGGAGTTGCTACGCTGGCCACTTGAAATATACCCACGTACAATATCATTGAAGCATAATTTCTTCTTTTTTTCATAGATACTAAGCCAATTTCGATCAAACTGATTGGCTTGAATCCAAATTAATAACATATTTGAAATCAGTATCAAATACTGAATCCACTTATATGTGTTTCAAGGTTTTTCAACAAAACTTTTTTTTTCTCGAAAAATTTACCTGTAGCCCCCCTCAGGGTTCAATCAAAAACTATACTCAAGCAGAACGCCACCTAGACAGCGGAAACGCACTTCAAAACTTGTAAAATGTCACTATGGCACCAGAAACCAGGTGACAGCACCATAAAAAACCCGTTTTCATCGAAATCATTTTTTTGACTGAACCCTGAGGCGGACTACGAGTAAATTTTTCGAGAAAAAAAAAGTTTTGCTGAAAAATCTTGAAACACATATAAGTTGATTCAGTATTTGATACTGATTTCAAATATGTTATTAATTTGGATTCAAGCCAATCAGTTTGATCGAAATTGGCTTAATATCTATGAAAAAAAGAAGAAATTATGCTTCAATGATATTGTACGTGGGTATATTTCAAGTGGCCAGCGTAGCAACTCCTACTATTTGATATCATTTGGAAGGCTTATCTACCCTCTAGCCATATTAAAGAAAAACACGGTGAGATATTTTTTGGTTTTCTAAAGATATTGTCAAAAGAATGGTCCAAAATCGTCATTTTCATCCTATTTTGGCCATTGTTGTATGCACTGCTAGACTGACCAGCCTCGTGGTCGTGGTATATTCAGGCCATTTCGTAGACCTGTTATCCTTCAACGTATGCTGAAAAAATCATGAAGTATTTTGGTTTTCTCGAGATATTGCCGAAATACAAAGTTAAGATATAACGTATATGAGCGATAAATGGTTGATATTTTGAAAACTATCCAGCTTCTTCGCTAATATTCTCATCAAGTGTTAACGAAGTCAATATATTTTCATAGTAGCATCTATTCACTATAGTTTTATGCGATTTTAATTGATATAAGTTGTCTAAATTGTATTTATGGACTCATGGACCAAAAAAACGAGTATCGTAAAAAAGGCGGAAAATGCTGATACAAAGAAAGCAGAAAATCACTAGTAAAATATTATGCCGGTGTACCCAAAATAACATGAAAATGTTCAACGTGAAGGAATCTATCGATCTATATAGTTTCTGGAACGATATATCGAGAAAATGTCAGTGGGCCGATTTGTAGTCTAATGCGCCGACCTCCTTTGTCTGTTTTCGGAAACTATCTGTGAGCGAACTGAGTGAGGTATGACAGATTTTGAATGAAAACTGTATCACTTCGATCTGGACACTTATATCGAATGTGAAAGACTATTTTGTGATTCTCTGTTTTCGAGGTCACTGAAGGAGAAAACTACAAGTGTTAATGCGTACGTCAAGAAAGAAAAAGAAGAAAACTCGTGCAAGAATCGAGTTCTATTGCTCATGTTTGAGACCTAATGAAGGGCTTGCTACTGAGTTGAATAAATAGAGTGAAATTCGATTCGTTTCGGTGTTGCTCTCAAAAAATCGAATAAACCACATCACTTTCGTTATGTCCAAAAAAACTGACTGAAATTGAACCTTAGTTTACCATAGCTTTTTTTGTGAACTTTCTTCCGTTCTGATGCAAAGCGTTATAACAGATGGATTTCCTTTTGAATTTACGATAATGAAGAAAAATTAAAGTTTCCACTCATTATCTTCTTGTCAGTAGAAATTTTAATTAGAAATTCAGATTTACATTTCTTCATCAGCTTTGTTTATAAAATAATATCTAAATCAAGATCTTTTATTAACTAAGATAATGAGGAATCATTTAAATAACTTGTCTATATAGTTCTGTATGATTGCATTGAAATTTTATAGAATTTTACGACTCCATTTCGAAATAGAAGGTAATAGGAGTTTTTGTTTTATTTTTAATCGAACACAACTCATTTTCTCATACAACTGTATTGACATTGATTAAATATACGCAATTATTTAGGCAAAAACTTGTCTAACCCATTAATTTATTTGACAAACATTGGTGCATATCCGAATGAAGAAGTGAGACAGTTATCTAAGAATCAATTCAATGGAGAATTGGTCTCAGGTTTTGTATTTGCTCATCTCGTTTTCCATAACGCAATTCATGAAAATAGACGATTTCTATACAATTCGGCAAAGCGTTCTATTTCATTCGAACTTCATCCATCAACATTCGAACAATTGATTCACATCATCGAAAAATTAGTATCCATGATAACAGAAAATACCAATGAAAATCTCATATATATTCTAATCGCTTGCTTAAAATTATCGATAAGTCATTTCAAATATTTATCGGTAATAAAAAATCCTTTTCAACATATATTAACAAGAAGTAATCTGATTCAGAATCAATGTACAATTAAATCGTATCCAATTAAAGATCAAAATTTAAATGATTTTGTAACTCATGATGATTTACAAAAATGGCTAGATATTTTATTGACTTTAACGTGTACTGACAACTACATATTCGAACAGACAGGAATTTGTCAAGAAGCATCGAAAGTTATTGCTCATATTCTCGACACATATTGTACTTCGTTTCTAGAAAAGTTAACGTTTATTCGTCAACACTTGATTGAGAATAAGCATTCGATATTAATTAAACAACTGTTAATTAGTTTAAGTTGTAATGAAACATTGTTATGTTGGATTGAAATTTTATGTGATAATAATTCAGAAAAAACGCAAGCATTAACTATTTTGTATTCATTTCTTGATATTTATTTAAATTCATCGAATGATATAATAATACAACATATGGAACAACTCTTAGTAATGTTTCAAAAACTTATTTTCAGCCGATTGGTATCAGAATATAGAATAAAACCCATTGAAAATTCAACCACGGACAATAAAATTATTGATCAATTAGAACCATCAATATTTTCTCTTATTATGAAATATGCTACACATATGTTGATGAATTGGAATCGTAAACCAAATGATTTATTGAATTCGATTCTTCTTGGTCTATGTTTAATGTTAGAAGAAGAAACTCGATTTGATTTTATAATCATTCAAAAAATGCTAATCACAATTTTACCTTTACTAGCTGAATTCATAATACAAAATATAAATCATGATGAAACAAATGAAACTTATTTATATTTTTATTCTTGGCTATTAGGTAAAATGAGTCATTTTTTAATCAATGGATCCTTAAAAGATCCGTTAGAAATTAAATATGATGAGACATTTAAGTCACCATTATTTTCTGGTGGATGTGAACAAATGACAATCGAAAGAAGTTCAAATCTTTTGAATATATGCGAATCAAATATAGCTCATTATAGTCAATTAAATATGATTGATTATCAACAAGAAACAACTTTCGATTATGAATTTTTAATGTCAATCTATAATAACACTGGTGATGGTGGACGATTAATAGAAAAAATGAAAATGTATGCTAAAAACAAACAATGTATAATACAAAAATCGATCGAACAACAAGCTAATGATGCATCTGCTGGATTATTTGCAGTCTATATAAAATATTATCGTCGAGTTAATTTAGCTAAATATGAACTATCTCGAATGGATAATGAAAAACCGCATGGTCAACTTTTGTCTCTTTTTAAGTATGCCAATCGTATTGAAACAGTTTTTACTCGGATTCAAGAAGAAGGTGGTGACTGTGACGCATTGTGTAATCAAATTCGAAATAGAACTCATTTTCTTTTATTATCAGTCAAAGAAAGTCACTTAATTCCTATAATCAACATGCATCAAACAAATATAAATGATGATGATGAGATAAAATTGAAAGAAAAAAATCCTGCTTTCCGAGGCAATATTACAAATAAACGATTCCGATTACTTCATCACGTTCTACAAGCTTCGATTCGATTCAAAAAAATGATGTTTATCAATAGAAAAGTAACTGAACAAAAGCAAAATAATGAAAATATTCTTAGTCAGGCTATTGATACTTATGTTTATGATGATTCATCAAATAATGATAAAAACTGTGAATCAGATGATCTTATTCAATGTATGTCTCGACAATATGAACGAGCTATAACTCGATTGATAGCATATCGATTTATTCAAATTTTTATTCAAAAACTCTTGCAAATTGATGATAAAAAAAATCATATTCAAATTTTTCTAACAATTTTTTTACCATTTTTAAGAAATAAAAATATTGAATGGACTTATTTAGAAAATATTCCAGCAATAAATAATCAATTAAAAGAATACATCGGAAATAATTATTATTCAATTATAAGACATTGTCTTACCTATTTCTTAGAATTAGAAACGATCGAAAAAACAACTATACTTAGAACAATATTTTATTTACTAAATTTATTCAATACATCAGCAGATATTCATAATTATGATTTGATCGAAAAATTATTTACATATTTTGTTAGTTTTATTAAAACATCAGATCGAAGTATTTCACTTGAGATGAAATTAATCGGATACAATTGGTTTCGGTTATATGTATTGAAATCATGTGAAAACTTAGAAATGAACGAATTGAAAAGCATGAATAATCCAAATTTTGATCGAAGCCAAGAATTGATCTTTCATAAATTGATTTTCAATGAACTGAAAACATTGACACAACAATTATCGATCGACATATCGGATACAACTATGAAAAATACAATTTATACAAAGAACTCATTGCATAATGCTGCTATGGAATGGTTCATTATGATAACAACTACAAATGATTTATCATCCAACTTCGATTCTGAAATCTATATAAAACAATGGTTAATGTTACTACTACGATGCGTTCATAACTATGAACATGTACGATCATTCTGTGCGACTATTGACTACATTGAATTGTTATTGTACATTTATCAAAATAGTAAATATTCGACTACAAGTTTACTTGCTTTGAAAATTTTTCGTAAAATAATCATATTTTTCAAAGAAGCATCTAATAAAACATCGAAAATGGGGATAAACAAATTTTTCAATGATACTTTATTTTCCATTGGAAACCATTGTCGGTTACAAAACACAACAAATGAGATTATGACTGAATTAATCTATATTTATCGTACAATAATTTCTTGTAAATCTTCATGGCAAATTATGGCATTAGAAATAATCAATAATACAATGAAATTGAATTTTGAATCATCGGAATCTATCGATATGAACCAAGTGAATAGTATTTTAGGATCATTACATGTTTTCGGTGGATATATTCAACCATATTGCTTAGGCTCAGTCGTAGAAGTCAATATTGATAATGAAGAGAATAATCAAACTTCATTAGCAGTAATCATCGATATTAATATGGATATTAAGAAAGTAGTTGCATCTTATTTTATTCAATATATCGACACATGTAAAACAAAATGGATTAGTGAAGATCAATTACGAATTCATATCGATGTTTCTCCACCGAATCTACTTGATTTACCAAATGCAAATGAAATAATCGATTCATTGTTCGATAGACTGATGTATTTCATTGAAATCGATCGATCAACTATTGAACCTTTACTATTCTTACAATTGAAACAGCGATCAATGGCTACTTTATATCAACTATTGATAAATAAAGAAATTGTAGAAATTTTCATACAAAAATCTTATGCTAGTATGATATGTAAATTAGCAATATCTGGTTTATTAGGAAAGACTCATTTAGAACCCATGAATTTACATGTATTGAATAAAAAACATTTTGAACAATATTATTTATATTTAGATCGATGTCAACATTTTAAACAAATAATTGATGATACGAATATGACTGATGTAGAAAATCCATTGTTTATTACTTGGAATGAAATTTCATTCAAACAAGATCGATTAACAAGCGAGCGTCAACCAAATGGATGGAAATCGAATGCATTCAAACAAGATATTGAACTTTTCAAACGAGGTCGAATTGGAAATGATGAAGTTAAAATCATACATATGCCATTGAAAACTGATGATTCATACTTTTTAGAAGAATGCGGTACGATGCATCGATTTTCGGGACGAGTTTGTTTAGTTTCTAAAAATAATGCTAATATGTTGGCAACATTCTTGATTGATAATCTACAATTGAACGAAGGCAAATGGTATTATTGTGTTCGATTATTACATGGCAATGCTATTCAAATTGGATGGGCAACAACTGGATTCCATCCGAGTAAGAAAAATGGAATCGGTAATGATAAATATTCGTGGTCGTATGACGGATTTCAAAAGATGCTTTACAATGTTGAAGCTAACCCGTTTCGAATCGAAGATATTAGTTGGAAAGCGAATGATGTTTGTGGTTGTGGTATTGAAATAGATGGTGAAGATATTCGAATAAATTATTGGTTAAATGGACGTTTCTTAGGAACAGCTTTTCAACATAATTGTGCTGTTGGTCCAAAATTATGCAATATGTTACCAAATGGACGTCGTGCAAGGTTTTTTCCAGGTGTTAGTTTAAAAGTAGATCATATTTCAACATTGAGTTCTTGTGAATTTATATTTAGTCCAGAAGATATGTTTGAATGTCCGTTGCCATTAGGTTATAAACCTTTGTTAGTACCGAACTGTATCTATTTGGTACCTTATCCTTATAGTGCTTATTTGATTAGTGATAATGTTCAAGAAAACATTTATAAGATACGCAATGATCAATCATCTATTTTTCTACGTGACTTTATCAATGATCAACATTTGGAAACTAAATATAAATTTAAGAATCATCAATTAGTTTTGTCACATGATAGTAATGGTTTGCCATTGACTATCGATCATCAAAAATCATGGGCAATAAGTTTTGATTTTCAATTTTTAGCCGAATTCGATAATCATGATTTCATACTTTTAACATTGGATACATTGGAAAAATTTTCTATTCGAATACCAACAAATAAAATCTATGATCAGATACGAATAGCCATTGTTTATCATTCAAACAAACGACAACTAAAAGTTTATATTGATAACGAATATCAAGTATTCAAGTGTCCAGTAATGACACTATTTAATATTCATATTTTACCTCAGATTTTTGTTGGACTTGCAAATTTTGCCATATGGAAATATGCTCTATCAGACAAAGATATTCATTGTCTATTTTCTAGTGGTTTATCATATATCGTTCGCGATTATCGCCAATTAAATGACTATAGAAAAAAAGCACAGACATTGACATTTACCCATAAACAAGAATATTTTGTCGATAATTTTCTCATTCCCTTCAATGAACCATTCGATGAAAACAAATGGGAAAAGAAAAAAACTGAAATCGATAATAATGAATGCAAATTTTTTAAAATCATTGATGGAACTAATCAATCAACATTACAATTATTCGGAAATAAAACTTATCTTGTTTTAAACAAATCTTTCGATCCATGGTTACAATATACAATTATTCTCGATATTTTTGTTGCTAATTTACCATCAATAAATGAACAATTAACATTAATTACATGGAATTCACAAACTAAAATTTTTCTCACATACGATCGCCATCTTTGTCTATCAATTGATAATGAAACAAATATGAAAAATAAATCAATACTCAACTTAAATACCTATGTACGTTTGCTTATTTCAGTTGAAAAAAAATCCATGAAAATTTATGTTAATGGAAATTTAGAGCTTGAAATCTGTGCTAATGAAAATCAATTGACGATCAGCGACAAACACATAGATCTATTTCGAGAAGATGATTTAACAAAAAATACAATCAGTGAAGATCAACTTCGCATCGCTTGTAAATCGATTACTTATCTAAATCGAGCAATCATTCATATCGATGAACGAATGAAATCATCGGATTATTCACTAGAATATCTCACTTCACTTCCGTATTCTATCATAGCACCGAGTCTAATCAATATTGGATACGATGTATCAAAAATAAGATATGCTATGCAACACGTTTGCCCAAGAAATATTCAATTAATTGATACCATTCTTCATGAAAACTATGAAGAATTAGTTAGAATCGCTCGTAAAGAACAATTAAAATGTCAAATTAATATTTTGTCCAAATTCGATACATCGACCGACAATGAAAGAATCAAAGATTTACTTCAATATTTCGAATCTGATACTAATGAAAAGATAGTTACTCTTGATGAAATTATGCTGGATCAATCAAATGAAATTCAAAAATCATTCGGCATAACAGCTGAATCACTATCTGATCGTAAATGGTTTTCTGAAGCCATGTATCGATTAAATATTGATGACAAATTTACCAAATGGATTCGAGATAAGTCAACCGTATCGATCGAAAGAATTGATCTAACTCAATATCTCATAGATTTTAATCAACCCATCGAAGATCAACCCATGATGATAAATTTAGTTCACGATAATCAGAAAGAAATCCAACAACCCATACAATATTCTCATCAAAAAATGTCACATCAACAATATGTTGATTCACGTATAGTTTGTGAACATGGATTAATATCGATCTATGCCCATCATATAATTTTAAATATGTTAAGCGTTTGGTCGAATAATGGATCAGATTTATTGTCATTGAAGAAAATCGGTGATTGTAAACTTATTGTTCAATTATTACGATTGTTAGACTATCATTACAATTATATTCAAATCCATACAGATGAAAATGTTGACCGAATGAAGTCAATTGTTCGATCGACTGTCAATATCGAAATGAATATCTTACTGAAACATCATAAAACAATACATGATGAAATAACAAATGAAATAATGAAACAAAAAGCTCCTTTACTCTATTATTTGCAAAATGATATTATTATTCAATCAATAGGACTTTTAATGAATCGAGAATTATTATTTGAATCTACAGTAGTCGATAGTCAGGAACCAAATATTAAATTTATTCTGAAATTTATGGATTTATTTGTCAACTTGGTAACTGACAAATCGACCTTGAAACAGAATGAAACCAATTTTCTTGTTCCAATTCTTTTTCCTCCTGTGTTAATCAATTTATTATTCGATCTATTTCTTGCAAGTCCAATGCATCAATTGAAAATATCAATTCTTCGTCTATTTTCCACGTAAGTATAAACATACAGTTTTTTTAAAGCTACTTGGTTACAATTGTATCTTTGATTGATTCAATGAAACTGAGCTCAAATTTCGTGAATCTACGGAGAGTATCTAATTCTCAGACTATTAAGGATATCAACGCACTTTTTGTCATTTGTAAAATCTTGCTAGGATTTTTTTGCAGCTTCAGTCTCATGTGGTTGAGTATAGATTTTTCTTTTTTTGCAAACAAAATAAAAGGGTCCACATGAGAATTTCTCGAATTTTTCCGATATTCTCGCAAAATTCAAAAATAAAAATCTGTCGATATTCTGTCAAAAAATTCAACAATTGTTTCACCACAAAAGTAAATATATACATATAAACAGTAAAATAGCATGAGACGTGTACAGATTTGAAACGGTTTAGTTTTATCTGGCAGTATTTTGATTATGAACAAGCAACAGAAAAGCTAATCAGGGGAAATAGAGAGAGAGAGCATACTATTGTTTCAAATTTTTCCCATGTAAACACCAAACGCAAAAATCGCGCGTTTAAACGCGTTTTTGTTATAGAGCGCATCTAAACGCAGTAAAAAATCTATATCAAACGCGTCTGGAAGCGATTTCATATGAATCGCGTCTGAGTGAGGTCGGAATAAGACTTCAAATGCGTTTGGGAGCGTTCTCATTTGAAATCGCGTCCCACTGATACATTTTGTGCGTCTGAACGCGATTTTAGTTCGAAGCGCGTCTAGTCGCGATTTTATCGATCTTTACGTCTGGTGCGCTTTTGTGGAGCGCCGCGTCTGGACGCACAAAATGTTTCAGGTGAACCGGACCTAGGTACGTTTGATAGCTCCGATTAAGATACAAACGAAACTCGATTCAGCAATCTGTTGATACAGAAACTATTTACACGATTGGTTTTATATTCACCAGAAAATATGTATCAAGGTTTCCTATAAAGTGGATCTAGTTTGAAAAATGTCAAGTTCTCAGCAATTTTTAAGTTTTTTTTTCTTACGAACAATAGAATAAATGCATTTTGCATTAAAATAGAATAGGATCATAAAGTCTGAAAAATAAGTACTCTAAAATTGAAACCGATAAAATTTTAGAAAAAATATGAAGGAATTTTTTTTTCACAGTGAACAGTTTACATAATCAGAAGTTTTTTCAATTCTATAATTGAATTTATTTAATACAACATGTTTTTGGATAAGTATATGTATTTATATACATAATAATAATTAAAATATTATTTGTGCACAGCATTTTACTGACATATGCATTTGTAAATGTCTCTAACAGACGATCACATGTGGCTCAATGGTACGTATACTTGCTTCATAATCGATAGTTCACTTGTTCTAATCTCATTTCTATCATTTCAGAAGTATCAAAATTCAAACTTTCCGTTGGCCTATAGTTAGGTAAAGACCATCGTTAGGCGATATCGATCGCGACTCAGATCAAACCTGAGACGGATTGTAATATATTTTTGAAATTTCAAATATTGAATTGAGCGCGTCTATACACGACTTAAGTTTGATTTGCGTCTGGGCGTGATTTAGTCAGCAATCGTGTCTGAACGAGAATTGGTGTCGAAACGCGTAGAGGCTTAAGAAATGTCTCACCCGAGCTGCATCTATACGCGTTCAACTGTTGCGATTTAAACGCAAAGAAAAGGCGATTCAGACGTGCTTTGATTCAAAAAATATTTACATGGGTTGTCTGTAGTCTCGTAGATTCCACTATAAGCCAAAAGCTCAAAAAAGAATGTTCAGAAAATCAAGTCAAATGTAGTTCTATTGCATATTTGGAACTGATTAAAACCATCAAACATTTAGTACATTTTCATCTGACATCATTTTTCAGAACATTTAGTTGAGCTTTTGGGTCAGAATAGATTCAAAATTTCAAGCAGAGCTGTTTGAACGCTATTCTATTTCTATACCAACTTGACGGGAATGAATGTTGCTGGTAATTTCTGGGAAATGTTGCTAACTTTTGTTGAGCTGAAGATCTAGTTTGGTCAAAAGACAACGAAGAAAGAAAAGTAACGTTTTGAAATTCAAATGATGATAGAGAAAATTAAATAATAATGTTCAATTTTCTTTATGGTACATCACAACCTGCTTGTTGTCTTCAACTTAAGGAAATCGGAGGAAAATCTCTGCAATTCAGAGAACCTACTTTTGCACTATCACGACTAAATCTTATCAATGGTATGTAAAGTTTTAAAAAGAATTCGTGACGGATGGAAGTGGAGGCTCAGCTCCTCTTTGATACCGTCGCTAAAAACATCGTTGTATGTGGGTGTTTCGGAATCACTTTCAAGCGAAAATCAGTTAGGTCTTACATAATTTTTTTCGGCTTTATTTTTCAGTTTAATTCAAGCAAGTAAGAATTTCGACTTAAGCAGCCATATTAAGAACTTCATATTCCATTTATTCGTCGAATTGTCGACAAATTCAAAATTAATCACTCGTCGATGCATGAAGACATTTCAAATATCTACTATCGATTTGGTGTTTCTACTATTCCAAAGACAAAAACATCAATCAGTAGTGTCTAATCAATTTGACTTTGATTTTACTCGATTTTCTGAAAGTTTCTATCAACTATTGACTATTGTCGATGTTATTAATGCTTTGACTGATAAAACAAAGTGCACATCATTTCCTGATAATTTCATCCTTCAATCGATTGTTTTATTGGGACCTAATAATCAATTTACTGAAGATGCTACTACACAATCGAATAGTTTTTTCGATACAATTGCTGATTTGCAATTAATTCATTTTCTGAATAATCATCTGTTGATTGAAGCTTCATTCGATAAATTCATTAACAATTTACCAACTAGATCTAAACCGAATCCAATATATTACAAAACCTATTCATCTTTATTGAATATTCCGGCTATTTCAATTCGAACTCGTGCAAAAGTTATCTATCAATTTAGTATACTTCTAGAAAACCTCATATCAATTATCGATTGTAGTCTATTACCAGGACAAAGTGTTCTGATAGATAAAATCCTAGCCAGCAGAGTCTACATGTTATATCCAATAAAATTTCGATTATTTAATGAGACTTTACTCAAGACCGAATTTAAGTCGTCTGCTTGTGTACCTACAATTAAGTTTGATCTAATTGGAGCAAATTCTACGTCTCCTGATAGGCTATATACGATGTTCCATCAAGCTTATGAACAATTGCATAATCATGCACATACATTATTTCGAAGGGCGGACAACCGTCTATGGATTGCACAATATCTCGGAAAGCATAGCGTTGATCAAGGCAGACTGTATCGGAATTCAATATCATATATTTGTGCTGATATATGTAGTACACGATTACCATTGTTTATTTTGTGTCCTAATGGACGAACGAATATTGGTCTAAATCGTGATCGATGGATTCCGAATGTATTTCCGCCGAATAAATCGATACCGGATCGAATAAAAAGACACTATCGTTTTATTGGACAATTGATGGGCATGGCTATACGAAAGAAACATTATTTAGATTTGAAATTTTCCGGCTTCTTATGGAAACAATTAGTTCGAGACCAAATAACAATTGAAGATATTGAAGCAATTGATATACAAAGTTTTACATTCATCAATGAAATGGAAAAAACTATTGAAGAAAATATTCAATCCACGAATACTGATAATGATATCAATGATTTACTGAATAGTATTTGGGAAGATATGCGATTCGAATGTGTCAGTTCAGCTGGTGAAATCTATGAACTTATTCCCGATGGTCACAAAATTCCGATTAGAGCATCTAATTTTAAAGAATACTGTAAACTTTATAGAGACTATCGTCTAAATGAATTTCGTCAACAAATTGAATTTATTCGTCAGGGTTTATATAGTGTTATTCCTGGTTATTATCTAATTTTATTTACGGCAAATGAACTCGAAGAAGCTGTATGTGGAAAAGGTAAAATGGATATGGATTTATTAAAACGAAATACGACCTATGGTGATGGCTACAATCGAAAGTCATCATGTATTCAATATTTTTGGACGGTTCTTGTTGACATGTTTACTGAAGAACAGAAGAAAATGTTTTTGAAATTCGTTTGGGGACGATCAACATTGCCATGCTGTGATAATAATTTTCAATCGAAATTCCGAATCAATCCATATTATGTAGCTGATCACTTGAAGGACAAAACACTTCCAAGTAAGTGAAATTTCCTATTCGCATATTCCATGATGACATATTTCAAAAATGTGAATAGCAAGAGACTGATTCTAATTACAGAATGAATATTTCATGACTCGACACTTCTGCGATGATACTATACGAGATGCGAGTTAGAGTTCGCCTGGTCCTCAAGTGTTTGAACTCAAACACGATTCAATAAGCTTGCTCATAGCCAATGTGAACCGATCGTGGTTGACTAAAATCTTTTTTTTGGACCTGATCTGTACTTATGTTATCTTCAATAAAAATTTGTAACCTGTCTTGATAGCCTCTCTGAAGATAGGAGATGCTTTTTTCGCTGATTTAAGCTCAGTAACTACGAAGCCCAACACATTTTTCCGGCCATCTTGGCGCTGTCGTGTAGGTCAACATGAAACATCCGCACCCAGAATCTCCATATAGGTGTCACGAAAATTTACGGGGATACAGAAAAAGAATCGATATTGAACAGTGAGTCCTATTGAAATGCTCGATAAAGTTTTGATTTGACAATAGATTCAATCGATTGGTTATAATGAATAAGTCAAAGGTCGAAAACAGTTGGGTTGCCTTAGGATTGGTACTTAATAAATCGAGGTCTTAAGAACTTTCTCAACATAAGCATGAGGTCCTCCGCAAGAACAATTTTCAATTTCAAATCTTGAGGAAACAAAGTTTTTGATGGGATCAACGAATAGTACAAGCTTCATATTCTCTTGTCATCTTGCAATAAGGAAGAATCTTGTACATCATCTATCTTCTATATATCGTATATATACAGGGTGGCCCATAAGTGACGCAACTGAACTAAAAATTGAATATCTC